ATGGGGTGAAGGTTCTTCCTCTATGTCGTTAGGGCAGACAAACAGACAAATTTACATGCAGACAAACCAAAATTTTCCCTTCGAAGGTCCCCAAGAAAAACTATCGTCTTTAAAATCCCCGTGCTTCTACCAGGGGTGTCCCAGCCAGCTTCTCGTTTTAGGCCTGGCGCTGGAGTTTGGACATTCTTGTGGATCTGTGACAGTGGGTTAGACCTCTTGTCTCTACCAAGGAAAGACTCAGCATAAGCGAAAAAGACCACGTAAAGCCCCTAAGATAATATCCATGCAACCTAAGATAAAACAGCTTTGCTCTGTCTTGGGCTTCACACGGCTAGTACAAACACCCCTCCCCTCTTTTTTTTTCTAGCTATGGCGACCAAGAATCACAGAGGTTGCATTTCAAGAGCTGTTTACTGCCCGGGTTCACTCTCGCACAGTTGGGAACCGAAGACCTGCTGTGTTTTAGGATCACAAAGCGGCAGATCGTAACATGTGTGCCGATTTGCTGCGCGGCACTCCTTCGAACTATCGTACGTGTGCAAGGCACCTTGCTCGGTCGGCAGGTTCTTGTACTTTCTGCACGTGAATGACATAAAGTACGCCAAACGCGTCGTCGCGCGCCGAAAGCTTTATTTGATACTTGTTCATGAGGCTTCGACAGCGTGTTCTGCCGAATGCATTTTCTTTGTTCGCGCCAAAAATAACCAAGATGGCGTCGACCAGCGGCGTCGTTGGCTGGGGTCACGCTAGTGTCCCGTCACATTTCAGCCAAGGTTTTTTTTTGTGGAGGAGGAGGAGGAAGAAACCTTTATCGATGCTGGCTGTCCCAGATAGCCCTTATCCCCACCGGGCTGGTTGACATCCCTAGTCCGGGACGTCATTAGTCGAGGCCGCCACCCGAGCCCGCTGGACTAGAGTTCACTGTTCCTCTAGTGTGGAGCTATTGAGTAGGGTCGTCTCCCAGTCCTCTTTGGTGGGGTTGGGAAAGGGGGTTAATTTTGGGTTCATTTGGCAGGCCCAGACCATATGGTAAGTGTTGGCCACTTTCCCACAGTACTGGCACTGCCCACTTGTTTTTGGGTCGTAATATTTTAGTATGGCTGAACAGAGCAGCGCATTTGTCTGTAGGCGCCGCAGGATGCGCTCCTCCGTTTTCGAGTTTTGTGGAGACGTTCTTCAGCACTCAGCGTCGCACGTTGCTAAGAGCGGGGTAGCGTTGTTTGTGGCCGCTTATCTTGACGACGGAGAAATAACTTTGGTTCTCATTGTTTTGAGTTGGTCCAATCAGCGGCACCCAGGCGGCAAACGTGCTTGATCGCCTTTGTCGGGTCTGAGGTGGGATTTCGGGGCTTTAGAAACGTTGTGCTGCGGCTAATCGGGTTTCAAGCAGACTTCCTGTTGGGCGAGTTGTTCTTGTATCAAACGCGGCATTCTTTAGCGCAAACGTGAAACAAACAAAAAAAGTAAGGAACTTACTGAGAAAAGAACGCAGTTCACAGGGCGAGCACTAAACATAACCAGACTTTTTTTTCGAAAAAAATACCACGGAAAGAAGACCCCCTAATTGCATGCGTTCTCCGTTGTGTTGCCAATCAAGCATGCAGTCAAACAGCTAGGCTATTCTCACTATTGAATAAATATACCAAAGTTTTGTTTATACAGTCCGCGCCTTCGCTCATGATATGATAGGTTTCCAGTAACTCTCTTCCCAAAGTATCAGCTGTTCTACCCAGGATGCTAATTTCGCGAAGCTGCGAGTGTGCATGTGCAGGCTGGGCATGCAATGGACCAGTACATGCGCATTCCTTTCGTCTTTCCTGGACAACTTCAAAGTGATGTAATAATGTGCGTTTATCAGCCCATTGCGCGACCCGCACACGAGCACGGCAGCTTCGCCAGATAAAGATCTTGAGTAGAAGAGCATGGACTGACACTGTGGTATATTTATTCGTAGCGAGTATAGCTTGATTTGGTCTTCATTTGGGGTCGTATTTTTGTTGTATTATCTGAAATAAATTTTGTTCATGTTTAGCGCTCGCCCTGTGCGCTGTCTTCTCAGTTTTTCGTAGTTTTTTTTCATGTTTGCGCAAAGAAAGAAAGTCTGTGCTAATGGTATTTTACTTCACGAAGCGAGAGACATTTACATTTCAACGCTGTGTTCTGAGAAAGCCGACTATAGGTTGCAGGCACAATAAAGCACCAGGCCTGCTCGGAAAGCGCGACACAGCCACAGCAAAAGCTTGAAGATCACCGTTTCTAGAATCCGTTGCAAACTCTGTTGGGTCTTCCATGGACGTGCTAAAGGGGCACTTGCTCCTTCAAGCTAAACCTGAACTTGTCCCGTCCAAACTTCAACAGCGTTCCGGTTCTTTGAAACGGACCAAGGATGGCCCAACCTTCTCGTAAGCACGGGTTTGCTCCGAGCTCATACAATAGCAGGTTGACCTCGCACGATGGCTGACACCGAGGGTCGCGGGTTCGATACCGCACGCAGCGGTCACGTTTCAATGAAGGCGAAATGTTAGCTGTGGCGTAGCCATAGGGCAGTACGCCATACCCCCCCCCCCCCCTCCCCACGTAAATATTTGTTTTTGCCATCATCATCATCATGGCATACAGATCACAACAAAATGACACTCTAATACACCTGCTCTTCCTCCCCCCCCCAATATGTTCTGATCAAGGAGGTGCCCCCCCCCCCCCCCCTGTACCTAAAAAAAAAAGCTTATATTACAGCGAAAGCTGTTATGGGATCACAACTCGGGTCACACACAGCGCCGTAGTTGTCCGCCGCCGCTGTTTGTCACAACATCTCGCTAAATTAGGAAGACAAAAAGACCTAGTATCATTGACGAAGTGGGGCTTGAAGCCGGGTCTGCTAGGTGCCAGCCCAGTATTCTATCACTGAACCACGCCGGTGCTTGAGGCTTGTCGGCACTTGCCTTAGGCAGGCTTGATGTCAGGAAAGGAATTGCGTTAGCACGGCCTATGAAGCGTTTAAAAACAGCGAAAGAACGAGCAGTCGTCGCACAATGCGAATAGCGTAAAGAGTGAGCCGTCAAATGCTCGAACCCTTTACAGAAGCTTGTTCTTGTTCACCTATTAACTGTGGCGCATACCCACTTCAGGCATAATTCCTAATCGTTGTCGGCCACTGTATAAAGAATTGGTGCGAAATTCCTTGGAAGTGTTCAGTGGATGCCAAGCTTCTACTACTACCCACAATTTTTTGTTGTTAATGCCGTAGTGGGTATTAAGAAAGGGCACTTGCACCAGTTACCCAATCGGTGTTAAGAAGAGGCTCTGAAAGGTTGCTCTTCTAGCTTTTGCTGGAACTGTGCTGCGCCTTCTGCGCATGACAGATGCTTATTATTATTATTATTATTATTATTATTATTATTAGTATTATTATTATTATTATTATTAGGACGACAGGCGCACACTCAGCACTATTGTACAACTGTGAGTAGAACGTCGTGAGCCCGCTGAAATTGAATTTGAGGCACGTTGGCTGTGATGAAAAAACTTTTAGTACTTTGTGCGCGTGTGCATTCTCTGCGCAACTGAGCTAATTGCTGAAATGAATTGACTTTATTTCTTCATTTTCTAATGAAAAGTAAGCAGAAGCTAAAGGCCATGTGGCTTGACTAAGACTTCTGCTCCTACGACAGTTCGGCACGCAGGCCGTACATAGCGCAAGTCTATACAGAGTAAAATGTACGGACATGTTCCACTGAATAGTCACGAAACTTACAAGAACATGTGCACAAAAAAGTGGAGAAGCGAGAATACACATGTCATGTCTGCAAAGAAGCAACAAAAAAATGTTACATAATACACTGTTAGGTCATTTTTCCCAAGTCAACAACTAAAATTTGCAATTAAGACACTGAAATTAAAAATACTTACAGCAGCTTTGTCAGACCAACTCAATATTTTGTGAAATGAGCAATGTTTTAAATGATTCACTTGACGCTTCCATAACTTCCTCTTGAAATTCATGTATTCTATTGATTAGTGAAGGTGCTTGGTAACTGTTTGCCATAATTTGTTCTTATTTTTGGTGTTTTCAGATAGTGTTGCCGAAAGCTGTAATGCTGGTTGGTGGGTGAATCCGTAATATAGTGTGTCCTTTTTTGTTTGCTATGTCTCATTAACTTGTAATAGTACACCTGATTTGCCTTTTACATAGAGTACTTGATGAAAACAGGCTGTGTTCTAAAATTCTGTAAAGGTCCACGATAACCCTCAAATGTGCCTAGGACTCTTTTTTGCAGCACAATCAGCTTCTTATATATTTTTTTGTGTGGTCGTGCCCCAAAATAATATGCAGGAAGTTAGTCCGGAGTAAAAAGTGCGTAATAAAACGAAATTTTCAGCCAAGAAGGAACCAGAGTACTCAATCTGTATAAGCAGTCAAGAGTTTTACTTAATTCTGTTACAATTTTGTCTACATGTGTGTTCAGGCCAGATCTTCCTAAAACCACACTCCTAGAAATTTTTGACATTTAACCTTCTCGATTATTCTATCATCAAAAACAATAGTTGCGTTGCAGTGTTGTAGTTTATTAGTCGGGGCAAGTATCGTATATTTTTTTTTGGAAGTCTTCATTTGTAATTTGTTCTGTCATGACCATGAAGAGAGTTGCTTCATACAGTAGTTCACCTTTGACTCAAGGTCTGATATAGTGGCTGCTTTAAAGAAAATGTTAATATCGTCTGTGTACATAACTAATTGTGGCGACTCGTGGATATCATACAAGTCATTGATATACATGAACATCAGAGGTCCAAGTATTGAACCATGTGGGACACCCGTAGTGATTTCCGCGTAAGAGGAAACATCATTATTTAAGCTGACATACTGATATCGCTTTCTTAGGTAATTACGCAATAGTGTGAGTGCGTTACCCCGTATACCATACTTTCCAAGTTTATCAATTAATAAGTTATGGCCAACCGAGTCAAATACTTTTCTGCATTTTGGCAGCAAAGGCGGCAGACAGCGCACAAGCTTATCGTCTACTTGTGTCTCACAGGCGATACCAGGACAGCTGCGGTGGTCGAGCACGGCATAGGTCAAGGTACTGCGGAACTCGGGCCAAGCTAAGCTGGTAGCGTTGTCAACTAGCCACGTCAAAGCGAAGATTATTCAACGCCTACGTGACTTTGCTGTACCCCTCCTGCGCCTGCGTGGACATTGCTACGCAGCTATACTGGAGCGCAAGGCCGGCTTCACGCATTTCGGCAGCTGAGGCGGCAGACAGCGCACAAGCTTATCGTCTACTTCTGTCTCACAGGTTTGAGTATTTCTAACATTTTAAACTCTTTTTTTCTGTTGCCTCTGCTGCCAATAGTGTAGTTCTAAATTGTGTGAATTCATCTTTTTGGACTGTGCCCCAAAATGGGAAGTGATATACAGAGTTTGAAGCGAGAATTTCGGAAAGAAATAAGGGACCTAAAGAGCAGCTTAGACTTCATAAGCAAGGAATATGAGTCCATTAAGAAAGAATGCTCAGACATCGAGAAAGAAAACATAGCATTTAAGGCAACTCAAGAAACCATTTTGCAAGAGCTTGAGTGCCTCAGAAAGACGACGCAAGAAAACGCAACGCGCATCTCCGCACAAGATCAATATTCGCGGAACAAAAACTTAGAGATTAAAGGCATCCCGCAAGCAGTCAATGAAAACCTTGCACAAGTGCTTACTAAAATAGGGGATGCACTAGGCGAAACTATTATTGAACATGACATTGAGGCTTGCCATCGTGTTCCGGCCCGAAGCGCAAATGCTCGTTTGAATGCTTCCGGCAACCAAGACAGCTCTGTAAACTCAAATATTGTCGTATCCTTCAACCGCCGAGTAAAATGTGATGTCCTAATGGCTAAGGCAAAAGGAACTTGGATAAATACGGAAGACCTTGGCTTTGCTACAAAGCAACCGGTGTACATCAACGAGCATTTGTGCCCACAACTAAAGAAGCTACTTGGGCTGACGATTGCAAGAAAATGCGAACTGAACTGGCGATTTGCATGGACCAGGGGTGGCAAAATGTTCGCTCGAAAAACACACATCTCGTGCTATCTAGATAACCAGTGAAGTAGACCTGGATAAGATGCGCGAAGGTGGTCTCACTTCCTAAAGTAGTGACTACCTCGTCACAGATTTTTAGTTTTCTGCTTTACTTTTTTTCTTTAACATGGCGTCACCAAAAGATATAGCACATCAGAATGATGGTGCTCACCTGGCATTTTTACACTGCAATGCACGATCGGCTCAAAATGAGTACGATGAGCTCACCACCTTCCTAGATGAATTTTTCTTTAGGTTTGACATTATTATGGTTACGGAAACCTTGTACACATGCGACGAGAAAGTGTTTAGATTACCAGGCTATAATAGCTTTTACTTGAATATATCTTCCCGCCGAGGGGGAGAAGTACTGCAGTTAATCTCGGAAAAGCTTTCTTGTAGCTTACTCACTGAATTTACAACAATCACACCGGATTATGAACCTTTAGCACTAATCCAAGATAACCATGTTTATGTTGTTCTTTATCGCCCACGTTATGGGTGTGTTGAAAAGTTCTACGTCTTCCTTGAAAGGCTACTAACTTTTGTAGGCATAAATAAGCTGTGCATCGTAATAGGTGGTGACTGTAACATAAACCTTTTACAAAGTAATGCAACGTCACGTTCATTCAAGCTGTTGCTTGATTCTTATGCATGCACAGCCACATTAAACGAACCAACTCGTGTCAGTATTCACTCTGAAAGTCTTCTAGACATGTTTATCACGAAAAATAAAAACGACTGCTTGTCAGCAGGTTCCGTTATATCGGATGTGAGTGATCACTTCCCTGTATATATGATATATAAAAAGAATGAGATTTCTAGACACCTAACACCAAGTCCTTTGGAACCCTATAAAGTACAGCAAATCAATTCAAAAACTTTGGAGCAATTTAGACACCATATTGAAAGGTTAAACTTCAGTGCCTTGTATAACTGCAAAAATGCTGATGAGGCTTACGATACTTTGATGCATCTTTTAAAAAATGCAATAGCGTGGCCCAGTGCATTTCAGCGCACTGGGCGACACTGGCCATGCTGTACAGTGTGTCCCAGTGCCTCGCAGTGCGTTGTAGTACACTGCGACACACTGTACAGCGTTTCCGGCGTCGCACAGCGTGCTGAAACGCTCTGGAAAATACGGAAAACCTGCTTTTTTTTTTGCAGGGCTGGGAGAGTTGTGTGCGAGTACGCCGTTTGAGGCATTCTCTCAAAAAGAACTCAATTTTTTGGAGCGCATGCTGTGAAGCATTAGTATCAAATTGATATTTCGTAATCAGATAACAACTACGTTTCTTTGATAGTGTGTTCTGCCACACGTGTGCGGTTTTGTCATGTGTCTGCTGTCTCGTGAAATGAGATATATTATGTGTTGTAAGGGTACACAATAAACAAACTTGGAAGTTAACAAACAGACCCAATGTACACATTCGATTTTCAATATTTGATATAATTTCATGTTTAATGTTAAGAGCTCCTTCTCAAGATTTCTTTTCTGAAAACCGTACTGCATGTCACTGATTACATTGTATTTAGAAAAAAATTTCTGTGGTCTAACGTTCAATGCACTCTCAAAGGCTTTTCATTAGACAGGTAAAACAGAAATGGGCCAATAGTTTGTCATAAGCTGTTTACCCCCTCCTTTGTAGATTCGGCACACTCGTGCTACTTTTAGTAGATTGGGAAACATACCACTTTCGGACATACTGTTCCTGATATGCATAAAACGGGGGCGATAATATCCGCAATATATTTAATTGGTGCAGGTTTAACGTCATCATGACCAGCAGATACATTGTTTTTCAATTTAAGGAGTAGTTGAGTAACTTCAGCAGCTGCAACAGGCGTAAGTAAAATTGAGTAAGAGAGACGGGTACTGTTCATGATAGGTGTGGTTATATGTTCTTCCTTATTAGGATACTGCGTGCTAGAAACGAAATATTCATTTAAAGCAGCTGCTGCCTCCGGGCCTGTCAACACTCCAGTGGGTGTTATGTTGATGTCATTGCTCTTTGTCTTCATAGCTTTGAGCTCTCCGACTTCATTCCAAACTTTTCTAGGGTAATTCTTTATCTTATCAAAGAATTGTGTGTAATACTTAATTTTCGCTTGCTTCAGTTCAGCATTCACCTTATTTCTAAATTTCCTAAAGTCTCTAAACACATCAGCACTTCTACATTTTACAAACTTGTGATACAATTAGTTTTTTGTCGTATCTTCCTGTTGTTTCGGTTGTGCGGTTTTAGCGGAAATCATTCCACACGTTGGCGTTGCGGCGTGATTACTGCACCTTGGCAAAGGTAGGTGCAGTGAGCGCAGTGGGTGTCTCTCAGTCAAACCGACTGATACACGAACGCTGGTTTAAACTTGTTGGTTCTGGAAGACCCCAGTTCAACTCGTGACTGTCATAGTGCCAGTGTGACAGTCAAGCCTTTGATATGATGGGCACTATGTAGCAGCTTCTTGGTAAGTAAAAAAAGAAGGGGGGGGGGGTGTCCGTAGCACTAGTGGTTCAAGGCTGGAGCCTTGAGCAGAGTTTGTGATCACCTAGATTCTTTCAGCTTTTGCTTTGCTGAACGTCATCTCAGTCTCTGTTTGATCTGCTCAGTCTTTGCAGTGATGGCTGCATCAGCTCATCTTCAATCGTCATGGTGTTATTTAGCTTAGACTTAATTGATTATTTCATATGCAGCATGATAATAGTTATCATGTTTATTACTATATGCCTAATTTATGGAGTATCAATTAAACACATCTAATTAGTCATGTATTAAGTGCCATATGTAGCTAACCACATAGTAAAAACATTGCCCTACTTTACGACAAGTTTGCTGGTACTTGGTGACTGAACACGTTTTTGTAACTTAAAGGAGCAGGGTAAGCCATATACCCGCCATGCATTTTAGGCGAAGATTAGGTGCTTTTTTCTTCGTAAACCATAAAAGTTACAGTAATTATTTTAATATCATTGTGATCATAAGCCATTCCTCTTACTACTGATGCAAATTTAGTGCTGAAAATTTCTAACATGCATATTGTGTAAATGTTTTGCTCCAGGTAACTAATTATCACTCGGTAATAGCTAATCTATGTCGCGTTGAAGAAGAGTGCTTCTTCACGCAACAATAATTCTGCTTCAGCATATTGCCTAATGTTTTCTAAACACTGGTGGAAATCTACGATCCTAGATACTGTGCTTGCTGAGATAAAAGAACATCAGTACATTAAAACACGTTTTGAGATAATCCCATGTAAAGTTAAAATTGTGCATTATTTAAAAGTACAACGACATAGCAGCCAATTGCCAAACCTGTTCAACAGGCACCAGCCAGGTACACGTTAGCAACGTCATTTTTTTTGGGTGTGTGTGTGTGTTGACACATCTTGCCAGCGAGCCTCCTTTGTCTTCTGCTGTACAGCCCTGTCAGCAAAGCGATCTCGATGCAGGGCAAGAGTGCATAGGTAGGAATTTCGCCCAGTGTCCTGGCGAAATTCTAAAGTAATTCAGAACAGTCGCACGGGCTAACCTGACATACTGAAATTGAACACATCATCGAAAATGCATATTTTCTGTGTTTTGTGTCCGAGGAAAAGGTTTTTTGAAGTGTGCTCCCTCACGAGAATTCCACGACTCGTTAAGGTTTTGATTTTTTCCATAGAAACATTTAGAAAGTAATTCTGGATGAGCTAGTTTCAGATAATTTGGTTTACCAGCCTCAATAACAAATGCTGGAAGGTGTTCTTTATAAACGAATGGTTCACCATTCGACGGCTGTCGCAGAACGAGCGCTAAAAATGGGCACGCCGCCGAACTCTTGCGATAACGGGCGGGAGAAACGCCGCGAGGTGAAAAAAAAAGAAAAAAAAGAACAAACATCCAAGGCTCCCCGGGCGCGCGCTCTCCCCGCGGAAGCGTGGCTTCGCCGACGAACCTCCTCACCCCACAGCGGCGGCCGGGCAAGCACTGGAAAGTTCCAGAAGGAAATAGGCGTGGTCATACCGAGTTGAGTCATCGGTCGGGGACGGCCCTCGTACAGTCTCGCGCCTCTCCCCAGCCTTCGCTGCGTATCGCGCCGACGAAATGACGAGAACTTTCTGGTATGTGGCGCGGAAGGTATTTAATCGAGCGGCCGAGACGAGAGAGCAGGAGGAGACGAAAGTGAGCGCCAGAGCGCGTAGGGATTCCGCCGTGTAGTCGGCGAAGGTTTTGGTTCGTAGGGACGAAGC